ATATTTGTTAAAAATATATATAATAGTACAAAACTTTATGACTTAACGCATAATAAATAGCCATCGAATCAAAGAATAACATATTCCACAAAACATTATAATAACAAAATGTATACAAATGTACATCACATATTTTTACTATTAACGATACATATTTAGAGAAATAAAATTATCTCTATACATAATGTACACATATGTATATATCATAAAATCTATGCTATATACATTTTTAATAAAAAATATTACAAAATAAAAATATATTATTATCTAAGAGAAAAAAAACTTCTGGTAGAGTTATTTCATATAATGCATAGTTATTCTTAAAGTATTTACATTGGGTATAAATTCATGATTATGCATAGATTACAATGTATAATAAAAAAATAATAAGAACAGTAAAATAATTATTCCAGTATAAATAAAACCATAAAATATTTCAAAATGACCATGCAGTTAAATTAAATTACATAATATATCTCATAAGAAATAAATTAAATGAAATTAATCATATAGAACCAATCTATATTCCACATATTATACATAATTCATATTAAAAGTGATAAATAATAAAAAATTAACACTGTCTCCAATCATCAAGCATTAATTCAACATAAATAAATAATAACATTGAACGTTTCAAATAATTCAAAATTATCAAATATTAAATTAACTGAATACATTTTACACGAATAATATTTGTATATATAACAATAAAAAAAAAAAATAAAATAACATAAAGACAAAATAATAATAATAAAACCTAAATAATGCAGCATAAAAAATCAGATATAGAACATAAGACAAAGCATAATATATAAAAAAAAAAAAAACCATCCTCAATAAAATTTAAATTTTAACGCTAAATAATATGCACTACAACAGGATACTAAACAAGAAACAATAACACTATATTAAAAACATAAATACTCATAGATGATCTTATCACTGAGACCTAAATGCTGAATTCTGAAACCTTAACACTCAACAATTAACAGTAAATCCTGAACGCTGAACAATAAACCATTTAACATAGAACCTAAAAAACTAAAACGTGAAACCTAGAACAAACCACTAAAAAGTAAACCCTGAAATTTGTAACAATATACACTAAAGCTTAAAAATTAAAACCACGAACACTGAACATTAATATTAATAAATTAAACCCTAAACACTAAAACCTGATAACCTTAAATGTAAACACTGAACCTTATAATATAAACCCTGAAAACTAAACACTGAACCCTAAAATCCTAAAACCCCAAAACTAATAAATGAACCCTGTACCCAGAACTATAAAGACTAATCTTTAAAACCTAAACAACTAAACCGTAAACCCTTAACAATAAAAAAAATAATTTATAATAAATACGTTTTTATAAATAATACACAAAATTACAAATAGAATTTGTTTTAATAGCATAAGTAAAAAATTGCTATAATATATAATTTCGATTTTGCTTGTCTTATGTAAAAAAAATTTCACTATATTGTATCTATGATAAAAAATAATAAGAATATACACAATAATATATTTATTTCCCATATTTTTGTTTGTATTAATTAATCTGTAATTATATATTTTTAATTGTAGAATAATTATAAATGATATATAAAAATAATATTTTATTGAATAATCTATTCCTAATAAATGATTGTTTTTGTAAAATATCTTACTTACTCGCATTGCGAAGTAATAAATACATACATTTAAAAAAAAATTATTATTAAATGTTTAATTATAAATAATTATATTTTTCTAATAAGAAAAATACAAATATATAAAATTTTTTATGAGTTCTTATATTATCCGAAGAAAATGACATGTAATAAAAAAAATTTATATATATTTCAATAATCAAAACATGATGATATTATAAATAAAGAAGGTTTATAATTATTCTGATGTATCACATTAGAATATTATTATTTATATGAATAATATATAAATAGTACTTCGTAAATATAATGGGAATGAAGAAAAACATTATTAATTCACAAAAAAAAATAAGTTTTAAGAAATCTAATAAAAATTCATAGCATGAACAAGTATAGCGATAGCTCTTTTAATAAAAAAACAAATATATTCTAAATAATATAAATTAAATAAATGACCTTCAAGAAATCATATTATGCATAAAATAAAAATATATGTAAAACTTAATTTAATAAATATGATTCATGGTATATAGGATTATATACAACATTCAAAAAGAATAAATATTATAACTACAATATATAAAAAAATATATCATATATTATAAATAAAAAAGAATAATTAATTTCAAGACCGTCTTATGAATACCATGGAATGAACAAAATAAATAAATCAATATAGTATCTCCTATGAGCAAACATAAAACGAGATCACATAAGAGATTATACAAAAACAGATTAATTATGGTCAAATTTTATAAAAATAGATAAAACCATTAAAACAAATACGTAACATTAAGTTGAACTGTATATATTACTTTTATTGGGAAATTTTCAATATATTATTCAATAAATATTTGAGTATATGTTTATATTATTTTGTTATATATAGCTTTTTCAAGTTCATTAATAATGGTTGACATTTCAGATGTATGTTTATTATATAATACATATAATTACTTATGTTAAAATATCATATTTCTTCTTAAATTAATTATTTAATTTTTTTCTATAAATAAATATTTACATTTTGTCTTTTGTTTTAAATTCATAGGACGCAGTACTTAAAGAACTACCCACAAAAGTGAATTACAACAATTTCGATCATGGAGATGCGAGTTGTAAGTATTCTCCATTTTACACAAGTGCAAAATCTCTTATAGATAAACAGAACTGGAATGAGGATGTTTCTAACAAAATACTTAATGCCTTATGTTATGCACATAATAAAAATAAGTCAAAGGAATTTAATGATGCTGATTGTGATTACCTGTATTTTTGGCTAGGTGATATAATATATAGAAATTTAACATATAGGAATTCGTTTTACACTGTAATGAATTCATTTAAGTTTATTCTAGAAGGTATTTTATGTCTCAGTAAATGTAATTTTGTTAATTATAATACGATTGAACATAATTTTATGGATATTAAGTCACTATTTGATTTTTCAAATGACTATGATAAGCTTGATGAATATTTTAGTACACATAAGAGGACGTGTAGCACCAAAATTAATAATTATATTAAGCCATATATCATGTCATATACAATGTTCAAAAACAAGTGTAAGGACTTACATAGAAAAGATGAAACTTGTATGGCTTTTAATAAATATTTTAAAGATAGTAATAAAATAGACTTACGTAAATTGTCATGCAATTCTGTAAATAATATTGCTAGATATGCAACACAACAACAAAATCATAGAGAAGGGGCAAATACACATGTAAGAAAAATGGTACAAATAACAGAAGCACGACCTCATATACATGAGAGAGTACGTGGTGTGAAAGCAAAGGGAGATGTAACAATAAGCGATTATGAAGGTATGTTACATCAATCTGTAGATCAAGGGGGGCATGTGAATGTATATCAAGAATCAATAATGCATAAACATTCGGAAAACTCTCATTTGGACGTTGAAAAACTAGAATTTAAAGATAATCCTGGTACTTCAAGTCATCCTTCAGCTTTTTCATCTTCAGAAAGTATGGTCATTGCCCCATTATTTATAGGAATTACAATATTTTCTATTATATTTTGCAAAGTAATTATTAATGTCCATAGAATGAATTATTTAATACATTATATTAAATAAATTTTATTAATTTTTAAGTAAGTTCTACAAATATTATACATAAAATATTTTTTATACAAACCATATTTTTATTAGTTTACTCCAGTTGGATACTGGTTAAAAAAGTCCATATTTGGAAAATCCAAGAGAAAACGTAATATTATAAGGAATATGAATATAACAGATGATTATACGATGCCAGAAGACATACAGTCATCAAGAAGATTTAATGTAACATTCAGTAATATATATTAATTCTGATTAGGACACATAAAGAATCCTTTTTGTTATATATATATGTATCATAAGTATTATTGTACAAAACTACTCATCTAAGAAAAGGGAAAAAAATATTTTTTCCTGCATAATACAATAATAATTTTAAATGAATATACTTGTTACACAAATAATCATTGTTTTTAAAATTACAATATTTTTATTCATTCAGTACATATAAAAGTATGGTAAAAATTATACTTCTATATATTTCAAAATGTATAATGATTCAGAATAAGTTTCATGATACAATAAGTGCATTTATTATTATGTATTATTAACTATTGTAAATGTTTTCGCATATTATTGTTTTGGTAATGAGTAACATGTTTTTTTTTGTTACATATATTATTGTGCGATGACTGTAGATACTAGCAAAATATGTTATATGATAATAATTTACGAATATATACTAAATAATTTTCCTTTATTTTAATATATTTACTACATTGTTTTGGTAGTACAAGAATATTATCGCAAATATGTGGGTTCAAGTAATTGCTATATATTTGTTGCATATAATGTTAAATATTTCGATCGTTTTACTGTTTATAAATTACAATGAAATTATCAATTTTTTATACTTTTCTTCTTATTATTTATATATTCGTCAATGCTATAGTTTTTATTTTAAAAAATTTTATTGCACATTTTATTATAGGCAAAAAATGTACAATGTACATAAGGGTTTGTTTGCTTGTAATTATATTTATAATTAAAATAAATATTAATATTAATATTACACTTATTTATTTTATAGATAATGTAAGTCATTATAAATTTTAAATAATATTAATTTAATGAATATCATTAAAAGTATTCATAATAAAATGCATATTAATATTTAAAGAGTAGTTTTGTAACATTCATGTTTCTATATTTTCTTTGTGTACTTCGTTATATTTTATTGTATGACTTAGCAACGATGTTGATGTGTAATTCCATAAATTCTTATTTTAGAACTATATATTCTAGTTATTGCAGTATGTGTATTTATGAATATATGTATTAAATATTGGATTGGTATATATTAAATTAAAATATTTACAACCCAAATTATTGTCTTAATAATAATATGTGTTATGTGTTCTATAATATACATACGCTTTATTATTTCAAAATGAAGACAAATAATTGAAGTCTTCTAATATTTATATTACTATACCATGTGTGTAAAACGATGTGATGTTGTTTTTATATATCTATTATATTTTTTTGGTTATTTTTGGACATTAATTTTTATGTTGTACTTTATTTAGCTATTAATTAAGAAATATTATTATAAAAAATATATCAATATAATGTTTATAGTACAAATTTATATGTATTGAAAATGCTTATGTAAGAGGGATATTTTATGTTTTATTTTAAATGTTATGTAGTTTACCTGAGCTGAAGTATTTGTAAATTGGAAAAAATAACATGAGTATATTAATTACATCTATAAAATATGTAAATATTGATGTTCTGTACATTACAAAGATTTTGATTAAAATGTGTTTTATAATAAGATAAAAAGTTATAAAAATGGAACCATGACAAATTTTAATATATATTAAATTTGGATGAAAAAATGAGTTGAGGATATATACAAAAGAGATTAAGTTAAATATTTTTTACAGTTGCAATATATTTCAACTTTCTTATAAAAATGACACTAGGAAAGCATTAAACATTATGCATCAATGAATATTTGTTATGGGATTAGATAATTCTAAGTGTTAAGAAAGTATTAAATTAATAGTATTGAATAGGTTCAACAAAAAATTGAAAAATACATATATTATATATTTCTAATGTTGCCTATATTATAATAAATTATATTATAATACCAATGTACATTTACTAAAAATTGTATGCATCTAATATTATACAAATAATTTCGCATTAGTTAATATTCTTTATAAATATAGATAGAATGTATTATTCATTATTGTCCGTATTAAAATACATATATATTTGTCTAAATATATATTTGAATAAATTTTCAGTAATAACTGATCTTAATTATAATTTGTAGTATAATTATATATATTGTAACATAACATATACAGTTGTTATTGTTTCAGTTTTTTTATTTAATAAAAATTGTGCACTTTATTTTATATCATAGTTATATTATATTTTTCCTTATTGAACTTGTTCTAATTAATATAATAATTATAGCACACTCAATTAAATTATAGTACCGTTTATTTGAATAAGCATATATCTGTATAAACGTATTTTATATATATGATCATGTTTTATTGTTTATTCAATATATAAAAATGTTATTTTACTATATATTTTTTTTATTTTAGTTCATTCTTAAAATATTTATATTTTTGTATAATTTTTATAGGATGATATATTATTTTCTTAACTTTGTATAGACATTGGATAATATATTATTAATATATACATGGAAATAATATTTCTTATTGTATATGATAATAAGATATTTTACAAATTTTTTATTTTGTATAAAAAAATGAATTTTGTGGTGGACTGTACTTAGAATGTTTTATTTCTATGGATGCCTAAATGAATTTATATAAATTTTCCATATATTAAGAGAAACAATGACAGAAATAAGCATGATAAAGTATTCTATTTATTTACCCTTATATAAAACATGTATATATGTTTTATCTTCTTCTTTTTTGAAAATTTAAAAGGAATGCAAAAATTGGCACTTATTTTTTATTGGCTACTATATTAAGGGATTATAATGAATATTAATTTATTTACATAGTGAAATAAATGTATAATTAACTGATGTATTAATAATAATTTGTAAGCAAAATTATTATGTATAGTGAAGGTCATATATTTAAATTTTTAAAATAAGTTTTTCTTGTTCGCTCATGCGTAAAGAATATTTTTTTCCTAACGTATATAAGTGAAACACATAAAATATACTTAATAGTAATACACATATAGTAATACTATTAAAATGTAAAAACAAAAACTATGTGAAATTATTCTATGATTTTTTTTATTTTAAGATATGTAAATTATTAAATATATTTAAAATTTGTATTAATTTAATACATATATATTTTATTATACAAGAAAACGAGATATATAATTTTAGCATAATTTTTGCATAAAGCTTACTTATTGGAATTATTTATAATATATCCTCTAGGGAATTTTCTTTAATACATTTCAATATCATCTTATATAATATATGATAAAACATTATACTGAACTATATGTCACTATCAATGAATCAGTTTGAGATTTAGATTCACAAGGTTCCAAATAATGCTCTCCTCATATTTGTTGATAATAATCCTTTATTCTACTAGATAATTTCTTATTTTTTTTAAAAATTTTTGTAACATTATCCAATTGGCGAAAAATAATGAACAAATTATACACGTGACATATTTATTATAATTTTATATTATGATTGTATTTATTATTATAATATAAAATCCCAAAATTCACAAAATAATTCTATTGAAATTTCCATCGTTTTTTATCGCAGTATATATCTTATTTCCTAAGAAATAGTAAAAATAATCACACAAAATTTTTTTATTAGGTATCAATGTGTAATGATTACGTATGTAATATATAGCTTTAAAAATTTCTTATATTTTAATCTGAATTTTTTTTGTGAGCTTTTAATACTTGATGTAGTTCTGCCTGATTTGCATAATGACATATTTCTTTTGATGAATCAAGTAGCTTTTAAAAATCCAGCAGAAAGTAGTGTTAATAAAGACGTATCCTGTGAATAATGAAAAAAATTTATAAATTACATTGTAAGTGAATATATAAAGCAATAATTTTTTTTCTCATATATTTATGTGAAGTGCAAAAAAAAAAAAAAAAAATGCATATATAAGGGTTATTTCATTATGCATTGAATAAAAATTAACATCATCTATATATTTTTCTTAATAAAATATTATACAAATGAAATATTATATATATTTTTATTTATCCCTTATTATAAATTATTTTATTGTTATATTTTACGTCGGATATAATTAGTTCATTTTTTTTATGTAAATTACCAGTGTGAAAAATTAATTAGCAAACAGGTAAGTAAAATACATTAATAAACACTAAATTCATTATTTAAATACATATAAAACTATTATAATAAAGCAGTAATTCCACCTAAGGAAATTAAAATAATCCATATAAATATTATCAGTAATACTACACGAACACATTTATACATATATATTTAATTTCTCTTAAGTAGGTATACTAATAATTGTAAATTCTTAGTATTTATGGTTTAAATTACAATATTTGCTTTAATAGTATATAACAATTTTTATAACTATAATGCTACAATAAGATTTATTTAACTTAAACTATATTTAAACATATTATTCAACATACACTAATTACACAATAATATATATATTTCTATTCCATTATACAATGTAATATAATTTTATAATCATATATATACATTGAATTATTCTTAATTAATGTATTTATTATGCATAATTGGTTTTACGCTATGACTGGGTTTCATGATAATGGAGATAACATTATTACCACATAAATACAAATATTTTTGATATAAAAAATAAAACTTTAATTAAAAAAATTATGCATATGCAATTTTTTATATTCATAAACATATCACATATTGTGTCCAATAAAGTAAATTTTAATAAAATGTTTAGGAAATAGTCATAAAATATTAATTTATAATATAATAAATTCAATATTTGATTTATTATGTTATTATTCAAAGCAAAATTTAATCCTTTTTTTTATTCTTATTTATATATATTTTTTTTTTTTTGCGTGTGCTTTAATAACTACAATTATTCTTCATCATATGACTAAATAAAAATGTTAGGATAACCAATAAATTTTTAAAGTATAAATACATTATTATAAGTAAAAAAGAATATTAATTTTTACATTTTAATTTATCACTGTGAATACAATAGAATGCATATTTTGTTTCATATTATATATTTTTTAACTTTCCTTGTATTATTTATTGAATTCCA